TGTGTTTCACGAGGAAGTGAAAGTTTGTTTGTTTTTGAAGGTAAAGAAAAGATGAAATGCTAGTTGTGAAATATTTGCCAAGGCTCACCGTATCAACGCAAGCAGGCATCTCGCCCTTTCCTGTCCTTGGGTGCAGCACGGGATGGCATGCACGCCAAGAAAGCATATAAAATGTGGGCTTGGTGTTTGACCAGGAAGTTCCGGTTGACCCCCCACCCCACACCCGCTCGCCTTTGTGTACAAAGGAATCTGGGTTGTTCATTGTCAACTTGGAGCAGCTTTATTAGAAGTTAATCCCTAACAGAGACGAATTCGAAATGCTTTCACTGGCAAATGCAGTTTGGATTACACACCTTCCTGTCTTAAGCAGCTTTGATAGAACCAGATCCAGTCCAGGTCCAATGTCAACTGGGTTCAGGGCTCTCTGAATGCGGGTGAACTATAGCTCCCCAAAACCAAGGTCAATTCCCCCCTGCAATATGTTGAGTTGGTCATGGAGCTTCTCTGTGCCAAGTCTGGTCCCGGTCCATTGTCGGTGGGGGTCACAGTATCTCTGGATGCAGGTGAACTACAAGTCCCAAAATCAAGGTCAACTGCCTCCCCCACCAACCCTGCAATATGTTGAGTTGGTCATGGGGCTCCTCTGTACCAAGTCTGGTCCCAGTCCATTGTTGGTGGGGGTCACAGTATCTCTGGAGGGAGGTGAACTACAACTCCCAAAATCAAGGTCAACTCCCTCCCCCCAAATCCCTGCAATATGTTGAGTTGGTCATGGGGCTTCTCTATACCAAGTCTGGTCCCGGTCCATTGTCGGTGGGGGTCACAGTATCTCTGGATGCAGGTGAACTACAACTCCCAAATTCAATTTGCCCAGACCCCTGCCATATGTTCCGTTGATTGTTGGGCTTCTCTGTGCCAAGTCTGGTCCCGGTCCATTGTCGGTGGGGTTCACAGTATCTCTGGATGCAGGTGAACTACAACTCCCAAAATCAAAATCAATTTGCCCAAACCTGTACCATATGTTGAGTTGGTCATGGGGCTTCTCTGTGCCAAGTCTGGTCTTGGTCCATCGTCGGTGGGGGTCACAGTATCTCTGGATGCAGGTGAACTACAACTCCCAAATTCAATTTGCCCAAACCTGTACCATATGTTCAGTTGGTTGTGGGGCTTCTCTGAGCCAAGTCTGGTCCTGGTCCATTGTCAGTGGGGATCGCAGCATCTCTGGATGCAGGTGAACTACAACTCCCAAATTGAATTTGCCCAGACTCCTGCCATATGTTCAGTTGGTGATGGGGCTTCTCTGAGCCAAGTCTGGTCCTGGTCCATTGTCAGTGGGGGTCACAGCATCTCTGGATGCAGGTGAGCTACAACTGAATTACCTGGATCAGTCACAGTCTGGCTTCAGGCCTGGCCACGGCACCGAGACGGCTTTGGTTGCCTTGGTGGATGACCTCATAGAGAGCTGGACAGGGGGAGTGTGACCCTTCTGGTTCTCTTGGACATCTCAGCGGCTTTCGATACCATCGATCATGGTATCCTTCTGGGACGGCTCTCTGGGATGGGTTTCGGGGGCACAGTTTTGTCGTGGCTCCGCTCCTTCCTGGAGGGTCAATCCCAGATGGTGAAGCTGGAGACGCCTGCTCGGACCCCTGGCCCTTGACCTGTGGGGTCCCGCAAGGCTCTATTCTGTCTCCCATGCTTTTTAACATCTACATGAAACCGCTGGGAGAGGTCATCCGGAGTTTTGGAGTTGGGTGCCATCTCTACGCAGATGACACACAACTCTACTACTCTTTTCCACCTAATTCCAAGGAGGCCTCTCGGGTGCTGGACGAGTGCCTGGCTGCTGTGGCTATCTGGATGAGGAAGAACAAGCTGAAGATCAATCCCGACAAGACAGAGGTCCTCCTGGTCAATCGTAAACCGGATCGGGGTATAGGGTGGCAACCTGTGCTGGACGGGGTTACACTCCCCCTGAAGCCACAGGTCCGCAGTTTGGGCGTCCTCCTGGATTCATCACTCACGTTTGAGGCTCAGGCGTCGGCGGTGTCTGGGAGGGCTTTTGCACAACTGAGACTCGTGCGCCAACTGCGACCGTACCTCGTAAAGGCTGATCTGGCCGGGGTGGTCCATGCCTTGGTCACCTCTAGATTGGACTACTGTAATGCACTCTACGTGGGGCTGCCCTTGAAAACGGCCCGGAAATTCCAACTGGCCCAATGGGCGGCAGCCAGGATGTTAACTGGGGCCCCTTACAGAGAGAGGTCAACCCTCCTGTTCAAGGAGCTCCATTGGCTGCCGTTCATTTTCCGGTCCCAATTCAAGGTGCAGGTGCCCACCCTAATTATTATTATTATTATTATTATTATTACTTTATTTGTACCCCGCTAGCATCTCCCGCAGGATTCGATGCGGCTCACAATAGGCCGAAGCCCAACACAATACAACAATACAATATCTAGCAAATAAAAACAGTTAAGCAGAAAAACAATAACAATAGCAATACGACAAGACATTATTAAAAACTGAGTCAGCCGGAGTAGGGGTACAAGGTTAAAAGTGCTGATGTATCGGAGGGGTGTGGGATTATGATATAAGTGCGGTGTGCAGTGTGCGGTGATTTGGTACTAAAGTGCTTCTGGGATTTGGTAGTGGGAGATTCCTAATCTGAAAAGGCACATTGGAACAGCCAGGTTTTCAAATTCTTTCTGAAGACTGCCAGTGTAGGGGCTTGTCTGAGATCTTTCGGGAGGGCGTTCCAGAGGCGGGGGGCCACCACAGAGAAGGCCCTGTCTCGCGTCCCCACCAAGCGCGCTTGTGACGCGGGCGGGATCACGAGCAGGGCCTCTCCAGATGACCGAAGTGAACGTGTGGGTTCGTAGACAGAGATACGGTCACGCAGGTAGGGTGGTCCCAAACCGTTCAGGGCTTTGTAGGTAAGCACTGCACCTTAAATTGGGCTCGGAAAATAAACGGCAGCCAGTGGAGCTCCTTGAACAGGAGGGTTGACCTCTCTCTGTAATGGGCCCCAGTTAACATCCTGGCTGCTGCCCGTTGGACCAATTGGAATTTCCGAGCTGTTTTCAAGGGCAGCCCCACGTAGAGCGCATTGCAGTAATCCAGTCTAGAGGTGACTAAGGCATGGACCACTCCGGCCAGATCAGCCTTAGCGAGGTACGGACGTAGCTGGCGCACAAGTCTCAGTTGTGCAAAAGCCCTCCCGGTCACCGCCGAAGCCTGAGCCTCAAGCGTGAGCGATGAATCCAGGAGGACTCCCAAACTACGGACCTGTGACTTCAGGGGGAGTGTAACCCCGTCCAGCACAGGTTGCCACCCTATACCCCGATCTGGTTTACGATCGACCAGGAGGACCTCTGTCTTGTCGGGATTAATCTTCAGCTTGTTCTTCCTCATCCAGATAGACACAGCGGCCAGGCACTCGTCTAGCACCCGAGAGGCCTAAACAGTTTGGGACCCATCTACCTGTGTGACCACATCTCCATATATGAATCCACACATTCCCTCCGATCATCGGGAGAGGCCCTGCTCACGATCCCACCTGCGTCGCAGGCGCGTCTGGTGGGGACGAGGGACAGGGCCTTTTCTGTGGTGGCCCCCCGACTCTGGAACTCTCTCCCCAAGGACATCAGACAAGCCCCAACATTGGCAATCTTTAGGAAGAGCCTGAAGACCTGGCTGTTCTGGTGTGCCTTTCCAGAATAGGAAACTCTTGGCATCATGTCCCAAATGCACTTTGTTAGTTTTAGGATTGTCTGCACATTGCGTCTACCTCCAAAACCCTCTGCGTTTCACCTGTAATGTCCAGCACTTTTTAAATTGGTCCATTACATTTGGCCCGGCCTTTAGGTTTTTAAATGCGTCATGGTGTCATTGTTTTTAGTGTTGTATTGTTTTGCTCGATGTCGAGTCCTTTGGGAGGTTTTGCGGGGTATAAATAAAGTTAATCTATACACATAATAAAAGTGAAAATCTGTATGTGTGTATGTGGCATAGGTGTCTGTTCACACAGACAGCCTTTGGCCTCCACAGATAGGCTATTGTTCCCAGTGCTGAGAAGACAGCAAGTCACTCTGTCGAAGGACATTGCTGGTTATAGCAAGCACATCCCAGTGTTCCTTTCTCTCTTCATTTGCATGACCCTACCCACTGCTTCTCCCTTATCCCTTTCCAACCCTTTCCTATGGCACACAGCAAACAGAGGCATTGATCAGCAACCGAACATACTGGAGACGTTTGGAGAGAATTCACCATGATTTATAGTTGTAGGGACCGGGATGCATAGTTCACCTGCAATATAAGAGCACTCTGAACTGCACCAACAATGGACCTGGAACTCACTTGGCACACAGACCCAACATGGGCAATTGTCCATACTTGCAGAGTTTAGGGGTGATTACCCTGGGAGTTGTAGTTCACCCTTATCCAAAGAACAGTGATCCCAGCCAACAATGGATCTGGACCAAACTTGCCACACAGAACCAACATGGCCAATTGTGCATACTGGCTGGGCTCGGGGGTGATTGCCCTGGGGATCTGGGAGTTGTAGTTCACCCTTCTCGAGATATCACTGAACCCAGCTGCTGTCAGATCTGGACTAAACTTGGCACACGGACCCAACATGGCCAACTTTAAGTAATGGCAGGGTTTGGGAAGGACTGACCCACGATTCTGGAAATTGTAGTCCACCCACAATCTTGTGCATTTTCTAATCAGACCATTCATTTAAAAAAAAACAAACCAAAAAAGTAAGACTGTTTTTCCCTAAGAAATAGCATTACACATGACCAAACTGATATTACCAAACTTCACAAAACAAACAATGCCTTCTCAAATAACCCGGGCACCGCCGGGTCCCCAAGCTAGTAATTAATAATAGTAACTCCCAGCGAGTCTGCAAAAAGTGATCCGCAAAGTAGCGCGGGAACACTCTATGGGGATTGTAGTTGTCCGGTCCTGATGCCCGTCCCTTCCCTTCTCAGGGATACACCTCTTTCTGGAACGACTGCATCTCCTCGGGGCTGCGTGGGGGCATCCTCATTGAGCTGGCCATGCGAGGGAGGATACAGCTGGAGCCTCAGACCATGAGGAAAAAACGGCTGCTGGACCGCAAGGTGAGCTCCTGGTCTCTCTGCAACGCCTCTGTTTGGAACAGGGGAACGGCAGCACCTTTGGCCTCTCTTCCTTTGCCTTCCAGGTGCTCCTGAAGTCAGACGCCCCGACCGGAGATGTGCTTCTGGATGAGACGCTCCGCCACCTCAAAGCCACCGAGCCTGCGGAGACGGTGCAGACGTGGATCGAGCTGCTCACAGGTGATCCAATCCTCGATTATCTGCTTATCCCAGATTATCTGGCAGTGGAGACTCATATAATCCAGTTTAAAGCAGATACCGTATATACTCGGAGTATAAGCCGGCCCGAATATAAAGGTGAGGCACAATAAAACAATAATAATGAGATTTAAATAATAAATGTAATAATAATAATAATAATAATAATAATAATAATAATAGAGTAAAATAATGGAAAAGTAATAATCACAGTAATAATAGAGTACAATAATAGAAATGTAATAATAACAGTAATAGAGTAAAATAATAAATGTAATAATAATAATAATAATGTAATAATAATTACAGACTAAAATAATGGAAATGTAATAATATCAGTAGTAATAGAGAAAAATAATAAGTGTAATAATAATAGAGTAAAAGAATAAATGTAATAATAATAAATAGTGTAAAGTAATAAAAGTAATAAAATAATAATAATAGTTATAGTGTAAAAGAATAAATGTAATAATAATAATAACAGACTAAAATAATGGAAATATAATCATTACATTTATTATTACTTTACTCTTTATTATTCTTATTATATATTTTTTTCTTTTACTATATTATTATTACATTTATTCTTTTACTCTATAACTGTTATTATTATTTTATTACTTTTATTACTTTACACTATTTATTATTACATTTATTCTTTTACTCTATTATTATTACATTTATTCTTTTACTCTATAACTGTTATTATTATATTTTCATTATTTTACTGTTATTATTACATTTATTCTTTTACTCTATAACTGTTATTATTATTTTTATAACTGTTATTATTATTATTATAGAGTAAAAGAATAAATGTAATAATAATAAATAGTGTGAAGTAATAAAAGTAATAAAAATAATAATAACAGTTATAGAGTAAAAGAATAAATGTAATAATAACAGAGTAAAATAACAAATGTAATAATAATAGAGTAAAAGAATAAATATAATAAGAATAATAAAGAGTAAAGTAATAATAAATGTAATGAAAATAATTGAGTAAAATAATAAAATATAATAATTCAGTAAAATAATAAGTGTAATAAAAATAATAATAAAGTAAAATAATGTAAATGTAATAACAAGAATAAATAGAGTGACATAATAAATGTAATAACCAAAATAGAGTAAAACAATAAATGCAATAATAATAATAACAGAGTAAAATAATGAATGTAATAAAAATAATAATAAAGTAAAATAATGTAATGTAATAATATTAATAATAAATAGAGTAAAGTAATAAATGCAATAAAAACAATAAAGTAAAATAATGTAAATGTAATAATAATAAATAGTGTAAAGTAATAAAAGTAATAAAAATAATAATAACAGTTATAGAGTAAAAGAATAAATGTAATAAGAATAATAAAGAGTAAAGTAATAATAAATGTAATGATAATAATAGAGTAAAATAATAAAATGTAATAATTCATTAAAATAATAAGTGTAATAAAAATAACAATAAAGCAAAATAATATAAATGTAATAAGAACAAGAATAAATAGAGTGATATAATAAATGTAATAACCAAAATAGAGTAAAACAATAAATGCAATAATAATAACAGAGAAAAATAATAAATGTAATAAAATAATAATAAAGTAAAATAATGTAATGTAATAATAAAAACAATAAATAGAGTAAAGTAATAAATGCAATAAAAACAATAAAGTAAAATAATGTAAATGTAATAATAATAAATAGAGTGAAATAATATAATAATTCGGTAAAATAATAATAAAAATAATTATAAAGTAAAATAATGTAAATGTATTGATAAGAATAAATAGAGTGATATAATAAATGTAATAACAAAAATAGAGTAAAACAATACATGCAATATTAATAACAGAGTAAAATAATAAATGTAATAAAAATAATAGTAAAGTAAAATAATGTAATATAATAGTAATAATAAATCGACTAAAGTAATAAATGTAATAAAAAGAATAAAGTAAAAAAAATGAAAATGTAATAATAAGAATAAATTGAGTGATATAATAAATGTAATAACCAAAATAGAGTAAAACAATACATGCAATATTAATAACAGAGCAAAATAATAAATGTAATAAAAAATAATAAAGTAAAATAATGTAATATAATCATAGCAATAATAAATAGAGTAAAGTAATAAATGTAATAAAATTATAAAAGTAAAATAATGTAATGTAATAATAATAATAAATAGAGTCAAATAATAAATGTAATTCAGTAAAATAATAAGTATAATAAAAATAATTATAAAGTAAAATAATGTAAATGTAATAATAAGAATAAATAGAGTGATATAATAAGTGTAATAACAAAAATATAGTAAAATAATATATGCAATAAAAATAATAATAAAGTAAAATAATGTAATGTAATAATAGCAATAATAAATATAATAATTCAGTAAAATAATAAGTATAATAAAAATAATAAAAGTAAAATGATGTAATGTAATAATAACAATAACTAGAGTAAAATAATAAATGTATTAAAATAATAATAAAGTAAAATAATGTAATGTAATAATAAAAACAATAAATAGAGTAAAATAATAAATGTAATAAAAATAATTGCAATAACAGAGTAAAATAATAAATAACTTTGACTCGAGTATAAGCCGAGGGGGGCTTTTTCAGTCTTAAAAAAGGGCTGAAAAACCCAGCTTATACTCAAGGCAGAGATTAATCTTGTGACCACCATCTTCTCCCACAGGCGAGACCTGGAACCCCTTCAAGCTGCAGTACCAGCTCCGCAACGTCCGCGAGCGGATCGCCAAGAACTTAGTGGAGAAGGGCATCCTGACCACCGAGAAGCAGAACTTCCTCCTCTTCGACATGACCACCCACCCGGTGACCAACACCACGGAGAAGCAGCGCCTGGTGAAGAAGCTGCAGGAGAGCGTCCTGGACCGGTGGGTCAACGACCCCCATCGCATGGAGAGGAGGACCTTAGCGCTGCTGGTGCTGGCCCACGCCTCCGACGTCCTGGAGAATATCTTTGCCAGCCTGGTCGACGAGCAGTACGACGTGGCTATCAACCGGTCCAAGGACCTGCTGGAGAGGGACCCTGAGGTCGAGGCGGCCAAGGCGAGCGGCACCGAGATGGTCTGGGCCGTCCTGGCGGCGTTCAACAAGTCCTAAATCCTCCTCGTTGGTTTCCGAGTGGGTTTGTCCCCTTCCTCTCTAGGACTGGACCTTTCACTCTGTGGATCCTTCCTGTGCCCTTTGACGGCAGGCTTTGGTGACTTCCTGGGGTCACACCCACCTGGAGTGAAGGGACACAGCGGGTAGCATTCTGTTATAGGAAAACTTACACATTCACCGCCTCCTCTTCCTTCTCCTCTTCCTTGGATTTGGGGATTTGCTCGGTTGCAAGAATGAGTAAAGAAGTGTTTGCGGCTCCTTTTCCTTTTCTGTCCTGCCCTTTGGGTTACACACACCCCCTCGAGTTAAAATGAAGGTTTGCGTCTGTTAGAAAATGAACATTTTTCTCTCCCTTTTTAAATTTCAAGCTCTCTTCCTCGTTTCCTTATTTTTTTTTTGTGTGTGTACGTTTTGGGAAGGAATGAATTGCAGTGTGTATTCTGTTGGTTTATTATGATTTTTTTAAAAATCTGGACTCTGACCTCAGTTTGTTTTGCTTCTCGATCCAGATTCCGCTGGATGGTTTCTCTTCTCCTGTGCTGTTTTCCTTGTGTTTGTTTGGAAATACCATTACAGCACAAATCTCTATGCAATCTCCTGTGTGTTTTTCCTTTCAGAAGGTTCTCCTCTCAACCTGATTTACAGATAATTTGTGGTAAATAGAGAATACTCAATTATAGTACTAACTAAAAGTAAAGGTTCTCCCCTGGCATTACATCCAGTGTGTCCGACTCTGGGAGGTGGTGCTCATCTCCATTTCTAAGAGCCGGTGTTGTCCGTAGACACCTCCAAGGTCAGGGGCCTCAAACTATGGCCCGTGGGCCACATGCGGCCCACCGAGGACATTTATCTGGCCCGCCGAGGAGGAGGCCCAAATTTAGTTGAGTGCCATCGATGGTGGAATTCAGAATGCTCTTTGATTGTAGGTGAGCTATAAATCCCAGGAACTACAACTCCCAAATGACAAAATCAACCCCCCAGACCACCAGTACTCAAATTTGGACTTATCGGGTATTTGTGCCAAATTTGGTCCAGTGAATGAAAATACATCCTGCATATATTTACACTCAGAAAACAGGGGAATTCTAAACAGGAAATACTCAGGGCCAGCTAACTCCCAACAAAGGATTCCCCCAAGCAGGAAGCAGCCAGGTTTTGAAGCTGCCAGGCCATTCAATGCGAATCAAGGTGGCCAGTTGCAACATTCACATTGGCCTCAAACAGACAAGAGTTCTTTCTCCAGCCCTGGACATCATTCCACAGATTTTGATTATCATATATTGGCCTCGCAGCTTCAAAGCCTGGCTGCTTCCTGCCTGGGGAAATCCTTTGTTGGGAGGTGCTAACTGCGGTGAGTTTTCCGGGCTGTCTGGCCATGTTCCAGAAACATTCTCTCCTGACTTTTCGCCCACATCTATGCTCTGTAGTGTGGGTCTGTTGGAAACTAGGCAAGTGGGGTTTTTATATATCTGTGGAATGATGAGAGTGAGAGAAACCTCGTTTTCCTAGTTTCCTTTGTTGGGAGGTGTTAGCTGGACCTGATTGTTTCCTGTCTGGAATTTCCCTGTTTCCTGAGAGTTGTTTTTTATTTACTGTCCTGATTTTAGACATTTTCAAAACTGAGAGCCAGGTTTTGTTCATTTTCATGGTTTTCTCCTTTCAGATGAAATGGTCCACGTGGATTTAAACAGAGGCTGGATGGCCATCTGTTGGGGGTGCTTTGAATGCGCTTTTCCTGCTTCTTGGCAGAATGGGGTTGGACGAGATGGCCCATGGGGTCTCTTCCAACTCTATGATTCTGTGATTCTATGATCTGTGTAGTCTGACACAGGATTCTTCCTAGGCAGGAAGCAGCCCGGCTTTGTAACTGCAAGGCCATTCAGTGCTAATCAAGGTGGCCAATTGCAACATTCACACTTGCCTCAAGCAGACAGGAGTTCTTTCTCCCACCCTGGACATCATTCCACAGATATATATAGTTTCCAACAGGCCCTCACAATCTCTAAGGATGCCTGGCAGAGATGTGGGCGAAACGTCAGGAGAGAATGCTTCGGGAATATGGTCAGGAAGCCCGGAAAACTCACAACAACCCACCAATTTAATGCTTTACCAACCCAAACTGGCACCCCAACCCAAGCAATCATCACCAATCTATATAAGTAAAAATGTAATGTTCGTTTGTGGGATTAACATAACTCAAAAACCACTGGACGAATTGACACGAAATTTGGACACAATATACCTAAACACACACACACACACACATACACAAAACTCCAGTGGAGCAGACTTAAAAAAAAMCCCAAAATGCACCATATATACATATACACATACACTMATATACATATACACAGGCACACATTCATACACACACACACGTGTATGTATATATATATATATATATATATATATATATATATATGCACAAACACACACAAATATACACATATACACACATACATATACATACACACATATATACGCATGCACACATATATATACACATGCACACACATATATATACACATACTACACACACATATACACACAAATATGCATATAGACAAGCACACACCTAAATACAGTATGCATGTACACTTAAACACACAAATATATACACACATATATATACACACACATATATACACACAAATATGCATATAGACAAGTACACACATAAACACAGTGTGCATGTACACATATAAACACACACATATATATACACCCAAAAATACACCCCCAAAAATACACCATATATACACATACACTCATATGCATATACACATGCACACATTCATACACACACATGTATGTATATATATATATATATATACACAAACACACACAAATATACATATATACACACTCATACATAGATACATATATACACACAATATGCATGTACACATATAAACACACAAATACACATATATATACACACACATATATGTATGTCCTTCACTCAAAAAAATTGATTTTGTCATTTGGGAGTTGTAGTTGCTGGGATTTATAGTTCACCAACAGTCAAGGAGCATTCTGAACTCCACCAGTGATGGAATTGAATCAAACTTGGCACACAGTTCTCCCATGAGCAACAGAAAACACCAGAAGGGTTTGGTGGGCATTCACCTTGAGTTTGGGAGTTGTAGTTCACCTTCATCCAGAGAGCACTGTGGACTCAAACTATGATGGATCTGGACCAAACTTGGCATGAATATTCCATATGCCCAAATATGAACACAGATGGAGTTTGGGGAAAATAGAATCCTGACATTTGGGAGTTGTAGTTGCTGGGATTTGTAGTTCACCTACAACCACAGAGCATTCTGAACCCCACCAACGATGGAATTGAACCAAACTTGGCACACAGTTCTCCCAGGACCAACAGAAAATACTGGAAGGGTTTGGTGGGTGTCCTTTGGTTTGGGAGTTGTAGTTCACCTACATCCAGAGATCACTGTGGACACAAACAATGATGGATCTGGACCAAACTCTACATAAATACTCAATATGCCCAAATGTGAACACTGGTGGAGTTTGGGGAAAATAGAATCTTGACATTTGGGAGTTGTAGTTGCTGGGATTTATAGTTCACCTACAATCACAGAGCATTCTGAACCGCACCAGCGATAGAATTGGGCCAAACCTCCCACACAGAACCCCCATGTGGGCCACAGCAACGCATGGCAGGGGACGGCTAGTATATGTGTATATGTAAACACACACACATATATACACACCCAAAACACATATACACAGACCGGGCCACAGCAAAGCATGGCAGGAGACAGCTAGTCAAAGATAAATCACTCTGGTTGCGTTTCGATTAAGGACGTTTACTTTTTTTTGTGAATAACATTTCACCACAAACAGGTACAGGATGAGGTATCCGAGAAGGAAAAGAAAAGGGAGGAAAAACCCTTTGGTAGAAAAGGTACAGCTTCATTTTTTTTCTTCATTTTCTTTACAGGCAAAACGGGGGGAAAAAAGGACTTTGGTTTTCTTTCTCTTTTTATAGCACGGTCGACAAACAAAGAAGAAACATTCAATTTATTAATATAGAGTAATGCACTGCTTTGATTAAAAACATATTGACCACACAACTCAGCTTGCGCCGGGCAGAAAGGGGAGAGGAGATGGGGACGATGGGAGAGGGAGTTGTGGTTCGCGTTTGGTTTGCGTACCTCTTGAGGGCAGGAGCTGGGGCTAACAGCAGGAGCTCACCCCGCACTCTTACCTTCCCGCAAATGCGGCACCTATTGCATGTTTTCGAACTGCTAGGTTGGCAGGAGCTGGGGCTAACAGCGTGAGCTCACCCCGCACTGTTACCTTCCCGCAATGTGGTACCTATTTCATGTTTTCAAACTGCTAGGTTGGCAGGAGGTGGGGCTAACAGCAGGAGCTCACCCCGCATTGTTACCTTCCCACAGTTGCGGTACCTATCGATCTACTCACATTTGCATGTTTTCGAACTGCTAGGTTGGCAGGAGCTGGGGCTAACATCGGGATCTCACCACGCACTGTTACCTTACCACAGATGCGGTACCTATCGATCTACTCACATTTGCATATTTTCAAAATGCTAGATCGGCAGGAGCTGGGGCTAACATCGGGATCTCACCACGCACTGTTACCTTCCCACAGATGCGGTACCTATCGATCTACTCACATTTGCATGTTTTCGAACTGCTAGATCGGCAGGAGCTGGGGCTAACAGCGGGAGCTCACCCCACACTGTTACCTCCCCGCAGATGCGGTACCTATTGATCTACTCACATTTGCATGTTTTCGAACTGCTAGGTTGGCAGGAGCTGTGGCTAACAGCGGGAGCTAACCCCGCCCTGTTACCTTCCCGCAGAGGTGATACCTATTGATCTACTCACATTTGCATGTTTTTGAACTGCTAGATTGGCAGGAGCTGGGGCTAACAGCGGGAGCTCACCTCGCACTGTTACCTTCCCGCAGATGCGGTACCTATCGATCTACTCACATTTGCATGTTCTCAAACTGCTAGGTTGGCAGGAGCTGGGGCTAACAGCGGGAGCTGCTTTGAGTCTCCTTCAAAAGAGATAAAACATAATAATGTGTTGTTGAAGGCATTCAGGGCCGGACTCACTGGGTTACAGTGATATTTCCAGGCAGTATAGCTATGTTCCGGAAGCATTCTCTCCTGACGTTTCTCCCCCATCTATGGGAGGCATCCTCTGAGGTTGGAAATTAGGAAAATGGGGTTTGTATATCTGTAGGTGGGAGAAAGAACTCTTGTTGGTTTGCTTCCCCCAGGCAGGAAACAGCCAGGCTTTGAAGCTGCAAGACCATTCAATGCTAATCAAGCTGTCCAATTGCAACATACACCCTTGCCTCAAAGCCTGGCTGCTTCCTGCCCAGGGGAATCCTTTGTTGGGAGGTGTTAGCTGGCCCTGATTGTTTCCTGTCTGGAATTCCCATTTTCTGAGTGTTGTGATTCCCCACTAAAGGATTTCCCCAGGCAGGAAGCAGCCAGGCTTTGAAGCTGCAAGGCCATCAAAGTGGCCAGTTGCAGCACTCATCCTTGCCTCACAGCTTGGCTGCTTCCTGCCCAGGGGAATCCTTT